CGTCAAAAAAATGCAAATAATTTTATTATTTTTGTTTTGTAAATTATTAATTATTTTAACTTATTTGCATAATATATCTACTTTAAAAATTACTTTTATATAAAATTAATTTTTAAAGATTTATACTACATTTATTTATTCATTCAACTTTAATTTTATAACGATATTATTATTATTTTAAAGATATTTTATATTAAATAACATAATATAAACAAATAACTTGTATATTTATATACTTTACAAATATATCTCTAATAATTTATCAGATATTTTGTTGTGTAATATTACAAAATTCCGAGATATTTTCACTCACCTGCTCTGACTTGAACGTTCCTGCTTGCTATAGTACCCACACTATTTGTTGCTGTACAACGATATACAATAGCGTGGATATCCTGTCTATATTCTTCGGCACGAAAAGGGTGGAAGACTAAAGTACCATCTAAACGGATATGCCTTAGTCCACGGACATCTGTTACAGAAGCTCCGTCTTCGGTAACCCATTTTACAATTGGAGTGGGATTCCCATAAACCGAACAGGGTATCACTGTACCTGTGGTATTTAAAAATTCTACTTGTTTCGGTGGCTCGTGTATGAACTGTGGTCCCTTTCTATTTGTGTTTGTCATCCTTCTTCCTCCTGTTGTAAGAAAGAAATTTTTTATAATGAAAAAAAATAAATTAAATTCTCTCTTTCTTATCGATGTTTTCTTCACGTTTAATCTTTCCTATTAAGTTATAAATACATTATTTGGTAATTTAAGTTAGAAGACATCAAAGTATCGATTTCTAACCAGTCAATGAATAAAGCCACACCTCATCGACGGTTTTGTTCTTAGTTTTATTTTTTTTCTCCCCTTCTTGAAAATTTTTTTCTTATTTTTCTGAAATTTTGTATAACCGATAATTATTGGATAATACAAGAGGATCAATATTTTGTTCTCTTATTTACATTCTTGATTACACTTGATTACTTCATTTAAAATTGAAGTATGAATTTCTTCCACAACCGCTCTTGAAAACTGCACAGAAGCTCCGTCAAATTTTTAAAAATTAAGAAAGATGTAATTTGAAAATGCAAAAATTTCTACGATAAAAACTAAAATTAGTTATAAAAAACTTTAAATGTAAAATTTAAAAATAACAGAAAAATATGAATTAAATTGTACAAAACTAATGCTAATTTAGTATTTTCAACAACTTGAAAAACTAAAAATTTAATTTATTGCAACGAGTGTTCTTTTCTACTAAGCCTTTCATTAAAAATATTCGAAGAATAATTTTCAATTTTTCAAAAACATCGATTCTTTGTTTTAAAGAAAATAAAAAAAAGGAAGAAATTAATTATACTTAACGCATTTGATCCGTTACACATTAGAAAACTTGATAAATTGTTTCGAACGAAAACATCGTCAAAAATGTTTAGAAGTTCTAAAGATAAATTGAGATGTTTTCCAAGCCATTAGATAGCAACAGGAAAATAATCAAATTCCTTTCAGGTAAATTTTTATTCATCCAATATTGGCATGTACTTGGCTTTTACATTTAAATCCTCCAATTTAAACATCATTGTCTTATTACTATATTAATTCGAATGTCGAGGGATCGCGATCGAATACGTTCTCCTTCATCCTTATGCATTAAAATTTGTCATTTTTATATGCAGAATGATATTGTAAAAGAAGACTATGCAAAATTTCTTCGGAAATTCAAAACGGAATCCATAAGTAACGAGGTTTTAAGATCGATTGCATTTTAGTTGATTCTCTTTCAGAATTCTTGTTCCGAGTAACTTTGATGAAAGAAAAATAGATGTTTTAAAAATTTAATTGTAGTTTTATCAAATATTTATATAATTTTCTTTACTATTATAAAAATTATAATAATAAAAGATTTCTTTTTGTATTTTTACGTACAGAGATGTAGATTGTTTAACGATTACATATCTATGTAATTGAAGTAGTATTATTTAAACCATTGATGATGTTTACTGCTACGATGATTTTACTATCTGATATGATAACTATTCTAAGATATATTTGTTATTCTAATAGTATCCAAAAAACGTAACGTGTCTGTTTAAAACCATACAACCATGTATCTTGAAGTGGGGAAAGCCTATCCATTTTGTTTTATAATAGAACATGTGGGGTTTGAAACGATGAAAGCTATTTGTCACTTCAAGAAAATATTTTTTTTATAAGATTTTCCCAAACTAAAGTAATGTTTCTGTTTAAACATTTCGATATTTGCTCTTTTTTTATTTGCGTATACAAGAAATGAAATTATTTCTTAAACAATGTAAATAAACTAATGCCACGGATGTCATCTCACCCAACACACACGCGCACATATATATTTTTTATTTTTATTTTAAGTGTACAATTTTATATAAATTTATCATATTTATTTNAAAATTAATTTAATATCCACTTCATAAAATCTTGAGAATCAAACTAATGATAAATTGTTCTCTTAAAGACACGAAGACACTTGATGCTATCTTAAGAGTAGTATGCATCGATATCGTTTGCGAATATTTTATTAAAGATTTATTAAAATTAAACTGAATGCTTGTATTTTTATTTACTTTATATATAAAACAGTCAAATTTAAACGAAAACGAATTAATATTTTATTCATATAAAAATTTTGAGTTGGAGAAAAAATTATAGAATAATATTGCATTGAAATTCTTTTCAATTGTATCAATAAAAGAAAATAATGCGAGTGAAATTTATTCAGCGAGTTCTCTTAAACTGTTTAAATTCTATTTTAAATTGCAATAAATTAAAAAGGTTTGAAATTTAATTTTAAACGTTTATTTTTAAATGCCTAAAGCTACAAGTGACAAAGTTTAGCCTTTCATAACTCTGTTATTAAACTCTTTAAATTCCGTAAGAGAACGTTTTGGTTTAAATCATGGTCGATGTAAGAGGCAAAGTATGCGTCAACCATTAATAAAAAAAAAGACATGGCTACAAACATTTCTAGTTGATTTATGGTCTTATTTAAATAACAGGAGATGATACAAAGTATATTAAGAAATGTTGCAAGAAGGACACGAAAGGGCTATCAACACCTACTAAAAGAAATTCGCTATTGAAATATGTAAGGTGATTCAAACACGGAAATAGTGCATAGCTATTTACTAGCTGGTAAGTTTGCTATGCCGGTGCACCTAGCTAGGAAAATTATTCCGTGTACGCCGTTGAAGCAGTAGTCTGTGACACTTCTCTCTAGCCACCTGTTTGTGACAAGAGTTCCCTATATGAAGCAGAATCCTGTCATGTGTAAATTCTTTGGAAACACACTGGGGATGCATTAGAGGTAACTTTCTCTGAGAAACCATTTCGGAGTAATAGCTGCTGGAAATTGCAATAAAGAAAAAGAATGACCTTATATGTTTGTATAAGCTTTATACTTAGAAACCTTACCTAAACTTAAATGAATGATGCTATGGTAAATAATCTAATTGTAAAATATTGCATCAAAATTGTTCTTTTTCAAGATAGCAATTTGGAAATTTAAACTTTTGTATACTGGAAAAAAATAATAAATTTTATTTATTTATTTTCGCCGCATTTTTTCAACTTTTAAAAATATGTCTCTTATAAAAATCCTAAATACACCTTAAATTCTAATAAAATATAACGAATTAAATAAATTTATAAAGTTTTAAAAGCTCCTAAATTTGTTTTATATTATTATTTTTTTCTAAAATATATGAATTAAAAACTGCGCTTCTAAATTTACTTGAAGAAACAAAGAAAAAAAAATTATCGTAATGTCTCGTAACGATATATAACGCGCACGCTTAAAATTTTTCAATAAAATAATTTTATTAAATGAAATAAATCGAACTTACCACACACTCTATAGAAAATAAGTATTAACGCTACTAAACACAATTTGTACCACATTTGTCCAGGCACACTATAGTTCGGAGATAAGTTATCTGTAAAGACACAATGTTTGATAGTAAGAGAAACACGGGATGAAGAGAACCGAATGAGAAGTTGTAGCAACGGTCCTCTATCGACGTTCACTCATACTACTGACTGGCAGTGTGGTCAGCCAACACTGTATTCCTTAACCTGAGCGCCTGCGCTGTGAGCAGACATACACAATTCGCCTATGCTGTCGCCTTACTTTCAATGTTGTTCCCAGCTGAACTAATCAAGAGTTAGCAATGGACTTAATGAACCATTTGTCAGGTACATCTGTGCAGCGGGGTTGACAAGACAACTAGGGGACCAATTTCCCTCACTAATGATCAGTTAAGGTTCAATGAAATTGGATGGTAGAAAAGGTGTGCTCAATCTCTCTGATATCTTAAATAGATAAGTTGGAGTAAAAGCTGTCACTTTTCGATTCTGCTAATGTCAGCCGTACATAAGTCTGATTTGATTTTTGTAATAATAACTTTGTCTCATTTTTGCTTCATTAATTTCGTTTCTATTCACTTATTACTACAATTTCAGGTGAGTCGTAGTATTTATGTCCGTCGTAAACGTTACGTTTAATTAAAATAATAGTTTCGACAAACATATATATTTAGTAATATGATAATGACATGGGCGTAATATAAGCAATATCATTTATTAAGAAGACGATCCGATTTAAGTTATAATTTAAATAATTAGTCATTAGCGTATTTATGAGATTAATAATTTTTATAGCATTGTTAAGTCATATTTTAAAACATTAATTAATATAATATCTGAAATTTAAGATAGAGGCGTATACTTTATGATCAATTATAATCTTAAAATGAAATTTTATTAAGTAAAATCTATATGTTTCATTCCTTAATGGAAATACATTGGATTGGATAAGGTCTTTTTTTTTCTTACTGCCGAGGTGAATTATTCGTTTCTTAAAAGGAAAAGTCTGAAAGTAAAGATATCGTAGTGAGCAATTATGGACAAGTTTACTTCATCCTCAGAACTCCTTACTCTTTGAGAACACTTTCCTTCATTTCCTTTAAGCTACTATTCTTTCGAAAGGCTATATACTGTAAATGGATTTTATGTTGTACTCCATAGCTTTACAGCATCAGAATAACTCCAACCATCTGTGCATCGAGTTTTCCTGATCGTAAATTTTGAACTTCTCTTTTTCTGGACTACCTCCTAACTTCTGGTAGCATGATGTTTTCACACTCTTTTGTAATGTAAATATAGCAATGATGTTTTCTTATAACTAAACAATTTATTAAATTATTAATATAATTTACATAATTATATTTTTCTCAAATATTGTTTAATATTTACAAAGTTAAATAAAGCTATTTTTATAGAAATCATTTCCTATATACAAATATTACACAATTTAAAAACATTTGCTATTTTTAGTCGAATTTAATCGGTATTTTAGATTCTTTTTACTATATTAAATTAATGCAAATTATTATTTTAAATCGTTAGTTTAAATTACATAAAATTAAAAATATATATANTATTGTATATTTTCTTTTTAAAAGCAGAGAGAAGAAAGAGGGTAAAACAGTCAAAAGAATGGGAGGATAGATTATTAAAAAGTATGAATAAACATGGACTGAGAGATGCAGATGCAATGGACAGAAAACAGTGAAAAGAACATTTTCTATTGATAAAATCTTACTTATTGAAGAAACTTGTAATGAAGAAGATTGTCTGAATGTAAGATTTATAAGAAAAAATATAAGAAAAATTGAATAAATCAAGAAAATAACTTATGTTTTCATTAATTATATTTTTAATATGTAAATAGAGAATAAAGAATATCCATTCCTTAAAAGAAACTAACGTATTATTTTATATTATAAAAATAAAATAATTTTTTTACAGTTTATAAATCAAATTCCTAATTTAAAATGCTCTTCAGTAGCCTAGTGGATAAAGCCACTAAACAATGTTCGTGGGTTCGTCCCTCACCAACGGGCTAGCCACGTATAATTTCCCGGATTTTCTTCACTTAAACAGGGATCAATTTTTCGCAAATTCAACTCCCGATAGATTGCCCAAGTGTTGCGTTGCCTTATTTCATCAATCCAATTCATAATTTAAAATAAATTTAGTTTTAAATATTAAAATATTATTTTAAATAATTCATTCTATTACTTACAACAAGAATACACTTTTTTAATGCTTATAATACCTACAATTGTCTTACAGTCGAGTGAATAACTTGAAAAGTTACATAGTAGTTTTGAGTAATGCTTTACTATAAAAAATTCCAAACTAATATTACGGAATTTCGAATTAAGCTTCAATATGTGGTAAAATAAAACCTAGAAAGATAGATTCGAAAGTACAAACGATGCCGATTGCTAGAAGTTAAGGGCTTCTGATCTTTAAAGAATGAAAGTTACAAAGCATTATCCAATTGAGGATACTGTACCTGCAACTGAGATGTTACATCGATATTGAACTTAAAAGCGAAGATAGCTTGTAAAACTATAAGTAATTTGAAATCTCTAAGGACTTTGACTTTTTTTTTTTAAATTTAAGTTAAGATTAGTCCGTGGAAAAGAAGTAGAAGAAAATAAATTTAAAAATTTTTATAATAGATCTATCCGTTTTTCTTCTTTTATAAAGTGAGAATTTAAGAAAAATATTATCCAAGAAAAAATTTAGTTGAAAATTAGTTTAGTAGTCTAATACTTTTTAAGTCCGGCACTGTTTAATGTGAAAAATATTCTATAATCTGGATAAAGGACTCTACGTGACTTAGATAAAGAGGAAAATTATCTTCAATAGATTTTATCTGACACGAAGGTTATAAAAGTAGATTTAAGCCTTCTACAGTAAAAAAGTAAGGAATCTCTCAAAGGAACAACCGCAATTAGACGCTCCTATTTTGTTGACTTGATTTATTCACTGAATTCTTTACATTAGTTAAAAAAAAATAATTTTTAGAGAAAATATAAATTTAAGTTTTAATTTCTTCAAGATTAAAAGTAATTTAGATTAAAAAATCTTTGGTCATTAAATTTTTTACATTATGGCAATTTTATCCTCAATATTTACGACTCATATAATTTGCAAACTCAAAAGTACTACATAATTTTCTTGGGATAAATTAGTAATTTATAAATTATAAATTTAATAAATTTGTTTACTCGTCTCTTGTAATAACAAATCTATTAATGTAGCCATTATTATCAACAAGCGCAGCAGCGTTATAGATCAAAGATATAACGTACAAATTGTAATAACTAATAACTTAGTAGAATTATCTGATCTACTGCAATTGATGAGATGATAATATTTTAATAAGAGAACAACATTTTGAACGGTAATATTTTTCATCTCGTTTGGCAACAAAATGAGTAATTTTATTATTGCAAATGCCTTTTCAAACTCGATCAACCTAGATTCCGCACGTTAACAATCTCAGAATCGCACTTACATTAACTTATTGATAACACTAATCACCCTTCCAACAAATGCTTCGTGCATACCTTAGGGGTTGACCGGTAATGTAATATTCATCCATGCCTGAAGCACTGACTTCATTCTTCTTAGCTGTCACTAGATAAGAATTGTCGAGCTACTGTGCACTGTTACAATAAGAACGATAACAACATTTCACCTATTTTTAATGAGAATTTTTTACTGTTCAGCCATTTCGCTCCTCTGTGGTTCTTGGAATTTTATTACAGAAATATTCATAAAGAATAAAAATAATTTAGTCGTGTAGATTTTGTGCCGTTTACAATATAAAATTTTTCAAATCTTTTCGTGAAGTTTCATTGTATTGTTTCCTTTCATTTTTTCACATTAAATTCCGACAATGTTTTACTTTTTTAATTTCATGCTACAGAAAACATATATGATAATATATGAATGTATCTTTGTATATCTATGTGTATATATATATATATATATATAGTAGAGC